TTATTCGCGTGGCAATCGATGAGATCAACTAGCGACGCCCGCAAGGGCGATGCGCGTTTATTTGTGTACCTAATTATCGGATTATTGAAACAGAAAATCAAGCGCAGGTTCCAATGGCAGCTGATGCAGGTTTGACGGACGGCGGCTGAAGAATGGAAGGAAACACGAGAGCGCAGAGGGCTTAAAAAAGAGGGGAATGGTCATAGATGATTTCCATTCCTGTTGAATATTTAAACTAATACAAATGCGGAGCTGAAATTTGAAACCTTATAAATAGAAAAATGTTATTCGTCCTGAAGTATGTTGATGGTTTTTGACAAACAGCTACAGTCTATGATGGTTGAATAAATGGAACAAATGCATGTCTTGAATTAAGTAGTAAAACTAAAGTAGTGGTTACTTGCAAGAAGTGACTGAAGAAAAACCGTATCTGTATTTTGCGTTTTGTAAATTTTTCGTTCGGAAATTCTCTATTGCCAAGACTCCAGGGTGGTGTATGCTAATCGCAGAGGCAGACGGCCGGAGCTTTGCTGTGGACTTCGAAATGCGAGAGCCTAGCAATTCAAATTGGCCGTATCAAATTGACGATTGTTTTGCTAAAGTAACTTATCCCAAGTACCGTAACACATGCAAATCACCATCCAGTATCCAGCGAATTCCGCACGTGTTCCATTTATACACTTTCTAAAACTGTCAAAACAATACTCTCATCTCGCAATAAGCATTGTCCTTCGTGTTCCGTGTGTGCTGTGTCGCGAAGTTGTCTGTCACATTATTAGATGTGTACACAAGTGAATAGTGAATATGCATCCGTATATTTTGCGTGTATACTCGTAGTAACTATTTCGGCTGGAAAATACGTACGAGAAATTCCATGTCGTATCGGCAAAAAATGCTCGACGCCTTTATTTAACTGCAAAATTCGTTTTGTGCAAAGTTTCCACATACACGCAATATAACAACGTTCATTTATCGCATTGTTTTACCTTTAGACTCACATGAAAAAAACCTTGTGGTATACTGTTTTTAATTGTTTACCGGGTTGATAGGCCGTGATCTAGTTGAAGTGATCGCACTTCCAGCCATTTCTAGTGGCATTGGCATTTTTAACTCTTCGTATAGAGCATTTAAAAAGCGTTGTTTGACAAGATGCGTGATATATGTAACAATATGTACAATCAGTTCCCGCAGCATGAATAATGGATACTTCACAATTGTGTTCCTGCAGCATCTATAGTGATAAAATAATGTTTCTTCATTATCTAGATCAACCACGTATGAATTCAAGCATTCGATAAAATTATGGTTGCTTCCTTTTCTGTTCGTTGAATGATGCTGAACTTACGAGTGATTGAATGACATTCAGCGTAATGAGTTAACAAAATGTTCGTTAACAGGCGACCCGATTCCAGGTCGGAGAAGTATTAACATATTAAGAATAACTACTAAATGTTTCATTTGTTCGTCAAGCAATTCAGTTTCTATTGTGGTTTTCTTCTTTTCAGTTTGAATATTTGTTTTTCTAAGTGTTAACCCTGAAGTAAAACAATAACGTTGTAATTCTATGTAGTTATGAGGATATTGTGAGGTAATGTGCTCAGAACATTCCGTTCCTTCTCTTATTTTCTTATCTCTGATGGAAACGAGGTGAAGCACGTGTCTTTGCTGGTAGTGAAGAAGGACAATCTCATTACGTTGAAAATTTGCGCGGATTTAACTTACAAAGAGAAACTGTAAAGTTATAAAGTCTTCTCGTCTTAGAAATTAAATGACCTTTAGAAGAGGAATTTGGAGATAATAATCCCTTTTGTCTTACCGCACCGCACCTTTTTGCCTCCCAGTTTCTTCTGACGTATTCAGATACCTGTTCCGCCGACTTGCGATGCTCTTGGTTCTGGTTAGCTAAACTTCCGCCAGTTTATATACCCTACTAATGCAATTCCAAGAAAGTTGCAGTGCTAATGTTTGCAATTATCAAGGTTTTCGTAAGAATGTAAAAACTATTCTATTTATTGATTAATCACTTACTGACACTTTATTCATAAGCGACTCCAGATATAAATAAAAATAGTGTTACAGAATGTTCATTTAATTGCAGTGCAATTAATTACGCATTTTTAATTTTTAGATATATTTGTCCAGGCGATACTTTCTTAAATGATGGATAATTTTCAATACATTCTGGTGGACAATTGAGAGAAATATGTAAGTAGTATCTATTTTATACATATTTCTGTATACGAGAATTTCTGGACAGTCAAGAATAAATTATAGAAGAAATACGTGAACCACATTTAGGACTTTGACAATCGTCTGATTCTTAGTTCAGAAAACTCAGACCTGATATTGAAGTGTCTAATTCGAAGTATAGTAGTGAGAATGACTACTTATTTTCTTCTATTTATTTTAATATTTGGATATAAAGATTCCTTTGTATTTATATTCTAACCACGTGTATTTGGGATATTTAAATTCTCTCCATAATACGTAGTTAAGTACTGAAGAGAAAGTATTGTCATACTACGGCAAAAATTGGTTTATGTATTAAAAGGAAAGAAAAAAACGTATGTGTGGGACTTTTGTATTGAGAAAGTGGATAACTCTTTTTTCTATGTGCAATTTATTTTCGAAAATACGAGTTATTTTCGCGTAATTATGCCGGAAAGGTAGGCATTTTTTTACACTTATTTCCTCAAAAACTGCTCGATTTCTTTTCTGGTAACGTTTCCTCGGATAAAGGGAGCCTAAAGATTAAGCAATCACGTTTTGGGAGGACAATATGTATTTGCAAAAATTGCAAAAAAATTAATATTGCAAAATAAAAAAATTGATAAATATTTTTTCTTAATTAAATGTGTTCTAAAAAAGCATCTTTAAAAAAAAGGTCATGTCCGCACAATTGCGCATTGCACAATTTTGTGTCGCCTAGCGACCTGTCATACTTGAATAAAGCAAACTACGTTCATAACAGGATTGCATGACCTTCTGCAGTAGTAAAATGAATTTTAGAAAATTCCCGAGTATTATGTGCCTTGAGGTCTAATATCAGCCCGAACAAAGTTTTGTTTAGGTTGAATACACTGTTGTAGATTCAACAGTAATTATAATATAAATTAACCGTTACAAATAATATGACAAATTATATGCTCTTGTAAAAACACTAGTTTAGTTTACTAATATATATATATATATATATATATATATATATATATATATATATATATATTTATATATATATTAGAAACGTCAAAGCGCCCTTTTGGAAAAAAGTACTGCTCGTGCATTTGAAATGCTTTCTTCGTGATATACCCCAAGTAATATATTGTGTTGACGCTACCATCTCTCGAACCCGAAACCCTAGAACAGAAACCCAGAGCACGCTTCGCTCGTCTCGCCCCACTTGCTGAACTCGGCGCCGTTGCCCGCGCGAGGTCAGCCGGCAATTGGCAATGTTAATATAACTTGCGTAGTTGAGGGCGAGGGCAGCGCCGACTGACCTGCCAGGCGCGGTTAGCCACGTCGAAACAAGCTCCGCCTCCCGCAAGCCAAGGAAGCAGTGAGGGAGGGAGTGACGACTCACTCAACATCCGTGTGAATCAATTACTTCAAGACCTTTCAAATATAAAAACATTTTTTTAAATAGAAGTTGTCGTCGAGGAAAGAATATCGTGTGCCCCGATAATGCGGTTTTCAGATATCTTCGGTGCACGAGGATTTTTTGAGAGAGACTTGAAAATTGTCAGTTTGCAGGAGAACAAAATTTACATAACAAGGAAAAGTCAGTGGTGTCGTGTCGTAACGAGCTTTAGTTTTTATACGTGAATGTTCACGAAAATAAAAGTGGACATACGTAATATCAGCTGCTCTTATCTATTGGAAGTATTTTTTATTGTCTTAGGGAGCCACGCGTGGTGCTGCTGCCGTCTGTTGGAAATAGGTTGAGGTTGCATCTGCATTCCGTTTAGAAATATTATTTAAAGCTAATACCGCAGGAAACACACACCAACACTAGAAAAAGCAATACATCAACGGAGGAAGGGGAAAGCGAGAGTAAAATGTCAGAATAATTTCACGTGGGCGTGGAAGCATCACATTTCGAGCGAATAACAGCTAGCGAAATGGGAGTAGCAGCTAGCTAAGCATATTTCGATATTACATTTCCGGGAAACTGGCACATCTGGAAACCTTAGATGATTGTTTGATTGATTGTTAATGATTGCGGGCGTGTCAACTACTAAGGTAATCCCTCACAAGGAGTACATGTTTTTGCTCGGGGAATGGCAGTGATCTTCCCCCGCTGTATGGCGAGATCAGGTGCCGATCTACCATCGGGACAAGCTCTAAGCACGCGGCATGTGTAGTAGTGTAGTGCATGTTAGTGTAGTGTGTGTAGGGGGTGAGGATAGGACACGGAAGAGGTAGGAAAGATCGCTCCCAGTCCGTGGTCCGTTTGTAGGGTACTACTCCGGCATTCGCCTGGTGTTGATCGGAGAAACCACGGATAACTACCCATCAGAGCAGCCGGCCGTTAGAATTTTCGTCCAGATAGCGACTGAATTCTACCTAGCTGACGATAAACTTTCAACTCTGTCCACAAAGTGCCTTAAAAAATCTGGATTGAACTTAATGTATTATGTATAATGTATTTACTTTGACACCAGCTCTTTACGAGCAAAGGCCTACTAACATCGTCCCGATCTTGCGGTTCAAGGCTACGTGTGGTTGGCACATAGATATCCCAACGCTATATTCTGGTCTTCTCAACTTCAGAAGTGAACTTTCTCATCCTCACATAGCAACAGATACTGAGACATTTGCGAGGAAAGCGTACAATTAATTTTTGCCCCTACTGGGAATCGAACCCGGGGTTGCGCCATGGAAAGCGTACAAGCTAACCGACGAGTTACCGTGGGCTGTCCTAATTTAGTATAAAATAAACTTAAAATGGGAAACGTTATCAAGAGTTTAGCTAGTTTTATATGTTTCTCGATATGTTTCAGAGCCCTTCGACACGGCCATGTGGATGCTGGTGGCTCTGGTAGCCGTCCACGTGGCGGCTCTCACTATCTTCTTCTTTGAATGGCTCAGCCCCTCCGGATACGACGGCAAGGTAAGACGGTAAAAGCGAGGATTATCAAAGCGATTGTTTTCAGATACGCTTAAAAAGTTTTTCACTTTTTTTTATTATTTTATTTTAGAAATACGATTCTTCCTTCGTAGTATTTTTCTGCACGGAGTTGGTTTTCGGCGGAGACGTAGCTAGTGGTTTATAGCTTTCACAACTTTTTGAAGTAATGATTAAAGATCCAAACAATATGCACCGCGAGTGTCATAAATATTGCTTAAAATGTATAAAAACCAGCATATTAATGCAATAAGGATTTACCAAAACCCAAACCGTCAATATCCGTATAATACTGAGCATAGAGTTGAAACCGAAACCAAATTTTCCATAACATGCATTGCTGGATTCATAATAATTAATAAATTAATAAAAGAGACGGGATATTGTGATAAGCCTGCACTTGCCCTCAGATGACGACCCCCGGCGACCACCGCTTCTCGCTGTGCCGCACGCTGTGGCTGGTGTGGGCCGTGCTGTTCCAAGCGGCCGTGAACGTGGACTATCCGCGCGGCTACACGGCGCGATGCGTCGCCAACATCTGGGCCATGTTCGCCCTCATCTTCCTCGCCATCTACACTGCCAACCTGGCCGCCTTCATGATCACTCGCGAGGAGTTCCACGACCTCACCGGCATCAACGATACTAAGGTGAGGCAGAGCGCCTTCGCGCACCCGCGCTTGAAATCTTCGTTATTCCCCGGCTCAGTTGGCTCGGGGAATTAACTGATGTCACTGAAGTTCCTCGTCCGGGCAGTCCTAGGTTTCGAATCCTGATGGTGACAGGGATTTCGACACTAGCTGGACAACTAGATAGAATTCAGCTGCTGCCTGGAAGACTCCGGCTTCTCTGATCGGCAGTTTTCCGTGTTTACTCCGATCACCACCAGGCGAATATCGGCGCAGTGTCCTAACAATCAGGCTACAGGCCGCGCCCGAGTTTTCCTTCCTCTTCCTTGAGCTGTCCTCAACGCCTACTTACACGTACATGCACGAATATACCAATCATGGCAAATGACCTGACGGGAGCGCTTGGAGCTTGACCCGCCTGGAGCGGTGCTCCTCTGGTGGAAGACACCTGTTTGGGGAAATCTCTACTAGCTGACGTGTAGGTCAACACCGGATCTACCATTCAGCGAGGAGAGAACAACACTGCCACCCCCCGTGGAAACTCCCACTTCCCGAGGAACACTACAACCTCCCGTGGCACTGCACTCACGGGCCTACTCACCTTAGAAGTTGACGCGCCGGGAAGTTCGAGCCCGAAATAATCACTCAATATTCTTTATAAAAATTATGCAAGAAAGACAGTTTTCTGTCATTTATAAGAAACCATTAACACAGATAGGTTCGTGGTACTGGTGTAGAGGGAATTAAGCTCGAGTCCTGCATCAAATGTATAGATATTCAAAGATATTGATTGATTGATTGATTGATTGATTGAAGTCTCCGGTTACGTCATGTCCTTTTGGTATTAGTTCTGTTAGTATAATGAATGATTATCCCATGAGGTAGTGGTGTTCCTCTCAGCTAGATGATGAGATCCGGCGCCAGTCTCCTTCAGCCTCGATTTGCGGGTGACATCCCACTCCAGGTATCTCTTCCAATCTGCCACTGCTCCAGCCGGGACAACCTCTTAAGCATAAAACGCATTAACAGAAGAGTTCATTATTTTTTGCTGTACGTGCAGACAGGGAACCATAAGGTTTGAGTCGAAACATTAATTTTTGTGTGAACACATCTGCATGTTTATGTGTTATTGGCATTACATAGTGATATATTTTTAAAACGAAGGTTTATCAAAAGAATATGAGCTGTGTTTATTGTTATTGTCAATACGAGTACTAGTTAATAAAAAATCGCTAAAAGGAATGTCTCGAAATGGTCAAAAGTGTGGAGAAAAAGTTGGGACCCCAACCCTGCTTTTCAGAACTTCTCAAGATTCCGTTACCACCACGAAACGAAAGCTGGTGAAGTAAAAAAAAGAAACATTACATACGCGAATTACTATGCGAGTCCAACAACACCAGCAGATCATATTGTGCCATATTGGTTTAGTCTGAAACCTCCCAGGGTCGCGAGGTGAGGAATCTGTTGCATGGTTTACATGTTGCGCGTGTTTCATCTGTCTATCACGTGTGTTACGTGCGCGGCATCTGTCGAATATGTTGCAGCTGAGCAACCCGCACACCCTGAAGCCGCCGTTCCGCTTCGGCACCATCCCGCACGGCAACACGGACGCCGTGCTGCGCCGCAACTTCCCGGCCATGCACGCCTACATGCGCCCGTTCAACCGCTCCAACGTCATCGAGGGCGTCGGCGCCGTCAAGGACGGGTGAGTCCGTCCGGTGGCGTAACGAAATGGGTGCGGGCCCTCTTTATAAAAGTGTGTAGCGAGTACAAGTTCTGGATTCATGCCGCAAAAACTAACATTAAAAATCTACAAATCTTCTAAAACCATTTCCTAAGGATTACAACCAACGCCCCTTGGTTGGTCACCAACGATGCCCCTTGGTTGGTCACCGCGTTTGGCCGTGGTGTAACCGTTAGGTACCGAACTGTTGTACCCAGGTTGGCGGGTTCAAGCCCGATCGAAGCCGTGGATTTTTAAGGGCGGAAACATCCTTCGTACGCCTTCCTTCGGAGGGGAAGTAAAGCCGGCTGTCCCATGTTAGAAGATTTGCTTGCATGTAAAAGATCCTCGAGCCTAAATGACGCCTCTAAGCTAAATTCAAATCGCCTGTTTCTCGGCCAAGAAATACCTCCTTTCTCTGCTAGTTGGTGAAAGGAGCGTAGTGAAATTTGCGTGGTCACACGGAAGAGCAGTCCTCATGGCCTGAGTCTCGCCACGTATTAATTCAATTCAATTCAATTCAACGACCAACTCCACAAAGAATTATCCATCGAACCCATAGCCAATCACATCAATTACCTTGCCGCCATTCGTTTTCTCCATACCACAAATTCCCACATTAAATGCACTCAATCTTGGCCGAAATTCTTTACAACCAACCCGAATCCAAAACAAAATTCTTTCTATGTATTCCTGAAAAAAATTCGCCGAAATTGAACATTCACAGAGGTCCCTAATTGGACGAGGAACGCCCATGAAATAGATTAAGCTTAGTTTGTAAGTTAGTAATAAGCAACCAAAGCATGTGAATAGTATAACGTTTTACTTATCCAGGCACAGCGTTGCATAAGCTATTGAAGCGGAAAACATCCGGTCTCCTGGAAAATGCTTTTTTTTAAATCTTTTATTGTATCATCTCACAAGGAATTAATATTTCTTACAATCGCAAAACCTTCAGCTGAAAAGTAGGCCCTCTCTTGGGTCCGCGTGCTTTGCGGGCCTTGTGAGCCGGAACATTATGCCACTAGGTGGACCGCACGCAGCCCTCGTAAACCAGTGTTGCGAGGAAACCACTGGGTTGGTAGGATTTATTTGGTCAAAGAAAAGAAAAAACTGCATGTGAAGTAGGGGGGAGAAGCACTATCTGCGCATGTTTTCTTGAGCACCAGAATCTCTTCACAGCAGTTCAACTATAAATAGTTGAAAGATGAATACAGTTTGTAAAAAAGCGCGAGGTTAGTCACATGTAAAAATCTAGACATTTTCTTTCCCGAATCGAAGAAAACTTATTTGCATCGATAAAAAAACTGCAGAGTTCATGTTTTTGTATTAGTCACAATATAGTAACTTACACCTGGCTGTACTCCTACCAGTAAAAGGAGAGCTCAACAAAACCTAACGAAACTCGCTGATAGGTGGAAACACGGCACTCTTTTTTTTGTAGTTGACTCACCAGCTTTTTCGGTTATTTTATATCCCAATTATAATGGCTCGCTGGAAAAATCATGTAATTGGATAAAACTTGCTTTTCAAGTGGAAAAACTAAAAAATATTAGAAACGTTAGGTGGCTATTTATTTTAGGAATGCGTTTAGATTAATAACACTGTATTATCTCCGATAGTGCTATCGGGCCTTTTAGTTTTCGGCATTTGTTTGTTCTTTTCTATTTAGGCATATTATGTGGAAATATGTCGCTCACAATGGGCAGAATTGTTTATTTTATGATACAAAAATGCAATAGAACTTGTAAACAAAATACAGTAAAACATGTAAAACTTTTTGTACAGACAAGAAAAACGGGTATTTATATTGCTGTCTCAGTATACTACATCCTACTAATTTCTAAGGCATGTTGGGCGGTGTGGGAAGGCCATTTCTTGCCAAAGAAAGTAAAATGTAGTAGGAAACGACGATGTTACGCTTATAACTAGGGGGCGGATTTTGATGACCTAAAACATAACCAAAAATTATTTTTAAAACTGCTCCTAAAATGTTTTTAAAATAACCAAAAAGCAGAGGAAAATGACATAAAAAAGTGATCCAAATTAGTTCGCATGAACAACTCATGCTGTCTGATACGTTTCTGATGTAATCGAGCATCGAGATTCATTAAAGTTCATTCCGAGGGCAAACGTTTGGTTTGTTCTGTTCTTTGCCACGAAATCTCTGCCTTTATTTATCGCGGAATCAGCCGAACTGAACTTTCGCCTAACTTTTACTTTTTCTGTGACTAACAATATTGTATTGACAAGATGCCGTTTTTCTGTGACTAACAATAATGTATTGACAAGATACCGTGAAGTGTTATCAAAGTTCAGGTGACTCCTATTCCTGACAAAATTCTGTTCTAAACACTTTTGTAAAACCGCCTTCCAAATCGCAATAATTTATTTCTACGCGTTTCACCCATTTGGAACGGTGGTATTAGCTGCGTACAGAAATTATTGTACAGTGAAACAAAATATGAATTATAATTGCCTGTTTTTTTAAGATGCTGTTCCGGAAAGGAGTGCGGTTGAGAAAGCACAAACGTCATGTTACAGTGTTTTGTCAGTATTATTTTACATCTGCCGCCAGACATTTCATCTCCAGTCTATATATTATAATAACTTTAAACAATGTTATTTCTGTTGTAAGAATAACGACAAACGTTTATTTAACGAACTTTTGAATACACAGCTTGAGTAAGAGACGAGCGTAACACGTTCGTCACTGCGTGTCCGGCGTCCAGCGTGTATCGGCGTGTATCGAGCGGCCTGAAGTCGGGCCGTCGCGGTCGTTTTTGGCGCGCTCGCAAGGTGGCGCCCTTTGTCTGACTATCATACAAAAAATTCTATTGCCCGGGTCCTTGAATCGTAATCATTCCTTATTTCTGATACTGGGTGTACTGTTGGGAATTTTCTAGTTTGACACCTCATGGTGACTCAACGCTAATAACTAAGTTCAGCTCGTTGATTCACCTCCAGGGGTCGACAACTCGACCAATGGTCTCGGTTATATTTAACCGTTATGTCATTTCCTGGCCGATCTAATACGTCGGAAGATTACATTTTGCCCAACATTTAGCCAGTTTTTTCTACACGACTCAAGAGTGATTCTAAGAATTTTCCTCCTAAACTCCACCTAAACCCTAATTCGGGTTTATGTATCTAGCACGCGTCGTTCACCCCACCCCAGCAACAATGATAGTGAAGTAGCGAGGTACCTCGAAATGAGTTTGGCGGCCAGAAGGTAGGCAGAGGTGAACAGAGGGAAACTTTATTTATTTGCTTGTAAGAGACGCGTGAGAGTTTTTTTTGTTGCAAATCTCGCCCATATTTGGATCACAAATGTAAAAATTTTAGTTTGGTGTTGTTTGTATTGAACTGGTGGCAAAGAACTGCCTTTCTTTCTACAAATCCTTACATTTCTAACACGAACTTTCGCGAAGATTTGAGCACAAATCAACTTTTCTGCAAAAAGAGATAAGTTGACTTGTGCTCTAATCTTGTCCCAACAGCAGTTCATTATGTTTGCACCGCAGACGCATGTGACCGGGAAAATAGCAAGAAGCTTCGTATATAACAGATAACAAACTAAATCCAAAGTCGTACCCAGCAGACCAGTTCAACAATAACACAAGATGTACGGTTTCGTAGCGAGGTTGTTATAATCTAGTAGATCTAACAAACACGTAGCGGGGGTCGTCGTAGTAATCAAGAAGAAAAGTACAGTTCAAAACACAGTATAATATATGATCGTGTGTCTGCACTCACACTGTCTTGTTCTACCAGGGGGATTTCTCCCCGAGATGGGCATCGAGACGTTAGCTCCGTGCGCGCACAAGTACACCTTGGGGCTGGAATCCGGATCCCTCCGGAACGCAATTACCCTTCTCGGGAACCTCTCTAGTTAAGCTCGGGTCGGGCCCCTCTGCCAGGTCAGAGCTACTGGCTGTCAAGGTTATCAACGGAGACGATTTAAGCGTCACTCACAATATGTCGCGACCAGTCCCTCCTTAATTACCCATAAGTATCGGGCTGTGCCTCGACGAAACCAAGAGCCCATCTTCTGGCCGCCCAGACCAAGGTCCCGGTGGCTCAAGGCCCTCAACTCGGCTTCTTACTGCCTCCACCGTGAAGCTGTCGACGTGAGTACCGCCGGAAAATGGGCAACCTGCCAAGGGGAATAATGTTCCTCGTCGGACATTTATATGTGGGTCGTAGGCAAGTCCCTCGCCTGATCTTGCCCAAAGGTCGGCGGCTAGAGGCCCAACTGGTGGGTCACCTGGCAACATAGAGCTGAACACCACCTTTTCTCTGCGCCCATCTTGGCACTAACGACTGAGTACCGCACAGTAACTCGGGTCCGAGTGGACCTTATTTCCTCCAGAAAGAGTCTCAGGCAATGATTCACCTCCCCCCTGCGGGAGGGTCAATTGCCAGGGGTCACGTTCAATCTCAATAATCTACCGGCCTCCACGTCACAAGCGCACCAGACGTCCCGAGGCATCGGCCGGCTCCGCCACCGCCCAGCAGCCCTCGCCTCGTGAGTGCGAGGGGGAGGAACCGCACGCCGCCCCTCCACCACGACCCCTGCCGCCGCTCCGACGCAGCTCCCTCCTGCGGCGACGCACGGGGTCCGGCGACCTGGCGCCGTCGGGGGCCTAAGTGGCGGTGGGAGCAACTACTGTTTTATCCCCACTACACCCCGACGGACTTAGAATTCTCGCCTGCGCCGGACGGAATTATCAAGGAATTTTAATTGGAAGAGACTAATGTCCAAGTGATACACAGCACGCTAGAGTAGGCTAATTGTAAGTTTCAAAATTCAGTTCATCAGTAACTAAATACCCAAGTGATAGTGAAATTAAACTCGCGCACTATGGTATAATTACAGTGAAAAAGCATTAAGTGTTTTTGACACAATTGAGCCTCTGATCGCCGCCTATGCTTCGCGTTCAGTTCCGCCAGACATCTGGAAGAAGATAGACATCGACACG